AGTTTGAAGTTCGGGATCGAAAATCTCGGTTTTTCACCGATTTTGGGTGAGATTTTTAACCAAATCTCTTGATTTTTATGTCTATGACTTCGTTTTTCAGTACTCTATCAAACCCCAGTAGCCTCATATCTCATATTTGTGTTTTTGTCGTTCGATTTTTATGTTTTTAAGTTTTAGTTTAAAAAACAAACTTTAAATAAGTAAATAGGACTCATTTCTTGACGAAAATTCGGGTTCTTTATGTCAAAGTGTTGGTAAAAATATTACCAAGAGTTTGGCGCAAAAAGAATGAAGAAAAATGGTCAAGAAACGAGCAATTTTGAAGCTCGAAAAGCTTGAAAACGAGCAGCCATGGCTACTGTTTTCGTTGCTGATCTGTTTGGGCTGCTGATCTGTTGGGCTACTGTTTTCGTTGCTGATCTGTTTGGGCTGCTGATCTGTTTGGGCTACTGTTTTCGTTGCTGATCTGTTTGGGCTACTGATTTCGTTGGTACCTTGGGCTGGGTCACGGGCCCGTTTAGTTTTAAAAAATGGAATAAGAGGGCATGGTGAAGGTGGGACTTGAACCCACGACCTCAACCAAGTAGACTCAAAGCATTAACCAACAAGCTAACTTTATATTCTGTAATTATTATTCGCTGTTATTATTAATATGCATTACATATTTAAGTTTCAAAAATTAGCATTTAGTCTCTTAAATTTCCAGAAATAATCATAATAATTTTATGAGACTTTCGTTAAGTTTGTTTAAAATGCAAACCTTGACCCCATTTTGATTATTTATCTCGTTTAGTTACCAAAATGACCCTACAATATGGAAATCGGTATTTTAGCGATACTTTACGTATTTGCTTCATAAATTACCGAAATGACCCTATGTTTTGGGGATTGGTCTATGAACTTCATTTTTATATTATTATTTTTATAAAATTACCAAAATGACCATATATTTGGAAATCGGTATTTTAGCAATACTTTACGTATTTGCTTTATAAAATTACCGAAATGACCCAATGTCTTGGGAATTGGTATCTAAGTGTTATTTTAAATCTAATCCATATGAAATTACCAAAATGACCCTACAATGTGGAATTCGGTATTTTAGCGATACTTACGTATTTGCTTTATGAAATTACCGAAATGCCCCTAGACTTGGAAAAATTGGTATTCTCACATTATTTCGAGTATTAATTATGTTGAACTTTAAAGTTATGGAATGACCGTTATATTTATASRTGTGTGACATGTTGTCACCTTTATTTACTTGCAAATCTTAAACGAGACGTTTTGGTTACAAAACATTATTTACGTTGTGAACTATTTAGTTTAATTATTTTGGTAAAATATTTATTATTCAAGAAAATGTGAAGTGTAGTACATATTTTTATAAATTGTACAAGCAACAATTAATATTTAACGACGTCACATTATTAATAACATTTCAAGAAAATATTGGAGTGAAACATGAGATATGATGTTATCGGGGGTTGATCAATAAAAGGAAAAGTCGTGTTAACTTAAGGAATAGTAATCAATTT